CAACCTTCCGAATTACGAAGTGCTACGTGGCGGCAAGGTGGGCATCTTGTTGTTTTGCGACTTGCTTTCTCCATGTTGCTAATAAACCCCTTACTATTAGACGACACTTCCTGTTCTTGACAACGACTTCTCACAGCGGGTCAACGCCATCATTCAGAAAACCCGCGAGATGCGCAGAGGCGTTTACTATCCTCATCTCTACGTTGTCAAGGAGGACGGCGAGCCCCCTTTGCGGCTATGGGCCCTCAGCTGCCTCATTCAGGATCGTGCTGATGTTTTACCGAGCTATCAACAGTTCATTGGACAACTCAAGGACAAGGTTAATGGAGCCAATAATTACTGAGCCTGCATCCTCTGCGCGGAAGCTGTTAGGCCATATTCGGACGAAACGGGTGTCTGGACCGAGATTACGCGCTTTTCTCTACTTTACTATACGGAGTTGTAGAAACGATATGTGCAGACTGAGATAAAGCTATTTTTGCTTCGCTTTGTAGGCATCACGTAAAAGTTAAACGTTAAGCGTCACAGGTTCTTTTCAAGATCTGCGCCGTGCGCGTGAAGTGTGTCCGATGGACACAGTACTGAAGAGTGGGTCCTCTGATTCAGGATGGAAAGGAGTCACACTCAAGTACTGACAGTCATCGTTGTGTGCTCCTTAAACAGTTGAACAAGTCGCATTTCAAGCCTACCGTGTCACGGTCACGTCTGGGTTCGCGTTTCTAGTTTTCTGGCCCGTGTCGTGAACGGTTAATAATTAACAGGCCAAAACCGTCAAGTTCAGGTCAATTATAGAGCCACATCAGTGAAGTGGTCTGACTTGGAACTGACTTCGGATACGAAGAGCACCGATCAAGGTCGAAATTACATGCTCATTATTTTTGAGTATGTAAAGAAGCGGACCATTTGTCCGACACTCCAATTGACCTGGTCTCATAAGAAGTTAGCGTATATAATGTACGCAGTGTGAGTCTTATCCTTTCCCTCCCATTTTCTCTTTGCAAAATGTCTCTTTCACCAGTCGCGACTGACCCCGTTTTTGCCCCAGACAAGGCGAATCTCGCCCCTGGGGCCACATCGATATGCCGAGTATCGCCTAAGCCGCCCTACAAGCTTGGTCTTACGGAGAGCGTTACGGTAGATGCGATCGAGCTTTCGCCCGTGACTCCAATAGACAAACAGGACTATGACTCGGAAAGTCGATCAGTACTTTCAGCCAGGTACAGAACACAAAGAACGCGGGAGAAAATTCAGTTTGTGACATTGTGTTGGTTTGTCTATCTGGAGGGTTGGAATGATGGATCGAATGGCCCACTGTTGCCAAGGATTCAAAAAGTTTATGGGGTATGTTTTTTTTTTGTATTTTGTACCGCAGCTGCTTATTGACGTGTTTTTCTAGGTTGGATATGCTGTTGTATCTCTTATTTTTGTTTTCGCTTGCGTGGTCAGTTTGTACACGAAACTCTAAACTAATCATAATTCTTATCATGTGTGGGCTAAACAGGGATTTATCACGGGCGCCGTGTCCAATGTGATCCTTGCCGAGAAGCTAGGATTCGGAAAAGTACGCCCATATAGACTGTATACTTCATGTGACGATGCTGACTTCTTGTAAGGTGATGGTACTAGGTACTATTTACTGACATCGGGGGCCGCATAATTCTCAATTTCCCGCGCTGCAGGCTCCCTATTTCAAGTCTCGGCATACTGTATCGAATCTACGGGGCCCCCCTTTCCCGTGTTTGTATTTGCGTATTTCATTAACGGAATTGGAATAGCTCTACAGGTAGGTAAATTTGTTCATCACCATTCATCTTTACTAACTCGTGAACAGAATGCAAATTCAGTCGGCTATGTTGCATGCCTCAAAGAAAATACAGAAGCGAAGATGGGCGTTTTCATGGCAGGTATGCATAGGCATTTTTATGCAGGTCATTCGCCTCGCTCACTCTCGAATTATGTAGTATATGGTAATTTGACCAGCAATTCTTTTTCGTAAAGTCGATGTTCATAACTCATATGCATAGGGGCCGGAGCACTCTCATCTCCTTTGGTTGCCACCCAATTTTCACACCTACCTCATTGGAATCTACATTTCTTGACATGCCTTGGAATTGCGATCACCAATACAATTGCCTTGATTATAGTCTTCCGGCTGAAGCCCCAGGCAGGTAAGGACAACGTGCACGACACGTTTATACTTGATTGCTGATATCATTTATGTACATTCTCCAGAGTGTCTTTCCGAGATAGGCATCGTGGACTCGGATAACAATGCAAGCGAGCACAGTCATCTCAGGCAGATATTCGCGAACAAAAACGTCCATCTTCTGGCAGCATTCACTCTACTCTATGTCGGAGCCGAGGTTACTCTTGGCGGTTCGTGACCGTCTACGATGGTTATAATATCTGACGCTCTGAAAAAGGCTGGATTGTTACCTACATTATTGATGTCAGAGGCGGAGGGCCTTCATCTGGTTATGTTTCTAGTGGTTTCTTCGGCGGTATGCAACAGCGCGCATTGGTGGACTTTGACTTATGCTCCTATTCTCTAGGTCTCATGGTTGGTCGAGTGGCCTTGCTATGGTTGAATGAAAAGGTAGATTGCTCGAATGAAGCTGAATGACCATTTTGGCTGATTCGGGACCCAATAGATCGGAGAACGCTTGGCCTTGTTCATCTATGCCGTTCTGGCTATCATGTTAGTAATGGAAGCGTGCTTACTCTATCATCACTGATACATCCATTGTTGGTAGTTTCGAGTTCATCATATGGTTCCTCCCGTTTTTGATAGGAGATGCAATCATCGTCTGTGTAGTTGGCGTGTTGCTGGGGCCAATGTATCCAATTATGGTGAACCATGCAGGACGCATCCTTCCTCGCCGAATCCTCACTGGTATGTCTCAAACAGTCTAACACAATTACTTGTGATTCATAATTTCCGGGACATAGGTTCCATTGGTTGGATTGCAGGACTGGGGCAGGCAGGTTCTGCAATGGTTCCGTTTATGGTGGGTGCTATCGCGCAAACTGCTGGAATGAAAACCATGCAGCCTGTGTACGTATCATAATAATGACACTAAGAAGACATGTCATACCTAACATTCTTTTTTTTTAGATTGATTGGCATACTGGGTATTATGACTGGGTTATGGGCCCTGGTGTGCTATGGTTCCAGTTCACGTCGTCCTGATTAAAAGTTTGAATTTGCGTTCTCTTTATGTATTGTACGACTTTGTCAAGTTACTGCATTGTTTCCCAACAGGCAATATTTATGATATTCATCACGTTCAATTGCACATGATCGCGCGCGCGCGTACGTCGTGACCTCGCACCCAGTGACTTGCAAAAATCGTTCAAGTCCCATTTCTCGTGGACTTGTACTACTCACTGTCGTTTTCACTGTTTACGACGATCTCAATACTGAAAGCTATACCAAACCTTTCTTTCAGATGCTCGTGTGCACGTTGTTCACAGCATCCAGATGGATTCACGTATCAAACACAGCAAGTCATTTCAAAACATATTAAAAATGGCCCAGTGTATCATAGACTTCAACGTCCAACTCGGACACACCGACGAGCTCTAATCCGACTGCGACTGGGCAAACAGTACCACTAGCAACTGCCAGGGATTTGGACATACCTGCCAACGAAGACCAACATGATTACTTTGAGTTTGACCCTCCGGATGATTGGCATGATGCAGACGAAGAGTATGGCCGTGCACCAGCACAAATTACAGTGCAGCCTCCAGAGTCATGACTTCAATCACCTCAGCACTTTTCGGTGGTATTAAAGGTCTAGGCTGAGATGATATTATTATGTTAGGATTACGTCTAAGCTCGCCGATGTAGTACCTGAGTTAGGCCCATCAGTAGCGTAGTCAGCCAATAAAACATCGTTTATCGTTTATGTTCTAATTATAGCAACACCTTCTTTCTCCTGCAGCACCTCTCTTGACCTTCCCCTGACCCTCTTAATATTCCGTATACCCTCTGCAACAACGCTCACGTTCTTCGCTGACCTCGCTGACAGTATCCAGTTCCAGGTATACTCATGCCTTTCCTTCATCATGCAATCTGTCAGCTGCTTCCAGTCGCAAATTGCCACTGCCTTCTATGTGACTTCTCAAGTTGATCAATCTACAACTTGCTTCTACATGATTCGTGTCGCGTCGCATCACATGATCTTGTGTACTGAACTCAATGTCCATACTACAGTGTGCACTGTATTGCCTGTAAGCCCTCCTCCCCATTCTAGTATTCTGACTAGACTCGTAACCCGAGTCTATATTCTGACTACTAGTGACGTGGTTGCAGGAGCACCCTGCACTGGTCGTACGGTCTGTCTACATCACACCTCCAAATAGGCCAACGCCCACTCTTGCACCACACCCACACCACCCTGTACCCACTTACTTGCATAAGGATAACATTGAGGCGAGGGTACGGTCCATACTGCATCCTATAGGAGATCTTCTGTGAATTCTGAGTATAATCTACAGGAAAATGACATAAAAGTCTGTAACTTCCGGCACAATTCCAGCAGCGAGTATGTGGCAGAGAATGTTGCAATATTTTGACACTTCTCCCACATTCTATCGTGTCTATAATCCGTGCGTTTATGATATAGATCGTCATGAGGTATTATGCTCCTTGAACAGCTGAACAATTCGCATTTCAGGCCTACCATGTCACGGTCACGTCTGGGTTCGCGTTTCTAGTTTTCTGGCCCGTGTCGTGAACGGTTAATAATTAACAGGCCAAAACGGTCAAGTTCAGTTCAATTATAGAGCCACATCAGTGAAGTAGTCTGACTTGGAACCGACTTTGGATACGAGGAGCACCGATCAAAGGTCGAAATTACATGCTCGTTATTTTTGATCATGTACAGGAGCGGACCATTTGTCCGACACTCCAATTGACCTGGTCTCATAAGAAGTTAGCGTATAGAGTGTACAAAGTGAGTCTTATCCTTTCCCTCCCATTTTCTCTTCGCAAAATGTCTCTTTCACCAGTCGCGACTGACCCCGTCTTTACCCCAGACGAGGTGAATCTCGCCCCTGGGGCCACATCGATTTGCCGAGTATCGCCTAAGCCGCCCTGCAAGCTTGGTCTTACGGAGAGCGTTATGGTAGATGCGATCGAGCTTTCGCCCGTGACTCCAGTAAACAAGCAGAACTATGACTCGGAAAGTCGATCAGTACTTTCAGCCAGGTACAGAACACAAAGAACGCGGGAGAGAATTCAGTTTGTGACATTGTGTTGGTTTGACTATCTGGAGGGCTGGAATGATGGATCGAATGGCCCACTGTTGCCAAGGATTCAAAAAGTTTATGGGGTATGTTTTTTTTTGTATTTTGTACCGCAACTGCTTATTGACGTGTTTTTCTAGGTTGGATATGCTGTTGTATCTCTTATTTTTGTTGTCGCTTGCGTGGTCAGTTTGCACACGAGACTCTAAACTGATCCTTATCATGTGTGGGCTAAACAGGGATATATCACGGGCGCCGTGTCCAATGTGATCCTTGCCGAGAAGCTAGGATTCGGAAAAGTGCGCCCATATAGACTGTATATTTCATGTGACGATGCTGACTTCTTGTAAGGTGATGGTACTAGGTACTGCTCGCTGACATCGGGGGCCACATAATTCTCAATTTCTCGCACTGCAGGTTCTTTATGTCAAGTCTTGGCATACTGTATCGAGTCTACGGGGCCCCCCTTTCCCGTGTTTGTATCTGCGTATTTCATTAACGGAATTGGAATAGCTCTACAGGCAGTTAAATTTGTTCATCATCATTCATCTTTACTAACTCGTGAACAGAATGCACATTCTGTCGGCTATATTGCATGCATTAAAGAAAATGCAGAAGTGAAGATGGGCGTTTTCATGGCAGGTATGCATCAGACATTTTTATGTAGATCATTCGCCTGGCTCACTCTCAAATTATGTAGTATATGGTAATTTGACCAGCAATTCTTTGTCGTAAAGTCGATGTTCATAACTCATAGGGGCCGGAGCACTCTCATCTCCTTTGGTTGCCACCCAATTTTCACACCTGCCTCATTGGAATCTACATTTCCTGACATCCCTCGGAATTGCGATCACCAATACAATTGCCTTGATTATAGTCTTCCGGCTGAAGCCCCAGGCAGGTAAGGACAACGTGCATCACACGTTTTTACTTGATTTCTGATCAGTTACATTATCCAGAGTGTCTTTCTGAGATAGGCATCGTGGACTCGGATAACGATGCAAGCGAGCACAGTCATCTCAGGCAGATATTCGCGAACAAAAACGTCCATCTTCTGGCAGCATTCACTCTACTCTATGTCGGAGCCGAGGTTACTCTTGGCGGTTCGTGACCGTCTACGATGGTTATAATATCTGACGCTCTGAAAAAGGCTGGATTGTTACCTACATTATTGATGTCAGAGGCGGAGGGCCTTCATCTGGTTATGTTTCTAGTGGTTTCTTCGGCGGTATGCAACAGCGCGCGTTGGTAGATTTTGACTTATGCTCCTATTCTCTAGGTCTCATGGTTGGTCGAGTGGCCTTGCTATGGTTGAATGAAAAGGTAGATTGCTCGAATGAAGCTGAATGACCATTTTGGCTGATTCGGGACCCAATAGATCGGAGAACGCTTGGCCTTGTTCATCTATGCCGTTCTGATTATCATGTTAGTAATGGAAGCGTGCTTACTCTATCGTCACTGATGCATCCATTGTTGGTAGTTTCGAGTTCATCATATGGTTCCTCCCGTTTTTGATAGGAGATGCAATCATCGTCTGTGTAATTGGCATGCTGCTGGGGCCAATGTATCCAATTATAGTGAACCATGCAAGACGCGTGCTTCCTCGCCGAATCCTCACTGGTATGTCTCAAACAGTCTAACGATTACTTGTGATCATAATTTCCGGGATATAGGTTCCATTGGTTGGATTTCAGGACTGGGGCAGGCAGGTTCTGCATTGGTTCCGTTTATGGTGGGTGCTATCGCGCAAACTGCTGGAATGAAAACCTTGCAGCCTGTGTACGTATCATAATAATGACACCAAGAAGGCATGTCATATCTCACATTTTTTTAGATTGATCGGCATACTGGGTATTATGACTGGGTTATGGGTCCTGGTGTGCTATGGTTCCAGTTCACGTCGTGCCGATTGAAGGTTTGAATTTGCGTTCAGGTCGTACATATCTAGAGATTTCATGATGGCGTGATCAATTTAAATGATAAAGTTCACTAGGGGCTGCTACAAGGCTGCCGTGTACCCGGACCGGTGTAAATAGAAGTAGTATGTGCACTCGTGGTCTACGAACTTAACTTCGGAGTACCATACATCCTTGGTGGTTTGCTGATGAGTCATTGCCGTGTTCCGGTTCTAGTATTACTAAGTCCCACGTCTAATCTTCAGCCAGAAACGAGTGCTCACCGAACCCGATAGCAGGGGTGATCTGTTTGTTGAGGGTGATGAGATGGGGTGGTCATCCTCGTGATATTTCATCATAAATATCGTAGGGTACAGATCAGTGGCCATCCTCCAATCATGGCGCAAAATCCAGACAATGAGAAACTCGCCAGCCACGCGGCAAGACGCCCCTTGATAGGCTCCTCAGCCGGCACACACTCATGAAGAAAAGTGTTCAACTAGATTGCGGCATGATTAGAAAGTAAAAACATCATGAACAACATTTTCGCCCGCACACTGCATAGAATACCGGTTCTTTCTCGAAATCATGCTGCGGCACTACTAGATTAGAAAAAGATACCATCAATGACACCATTTTCTCCATATCATCCAATACGGGCACTACGACAGTTGTATGTTCTGCCATCATGGTTCATTTGTCCCCTGGAGCATCGACGTCATGGCGGCCCCACTGACTCATGGTTGAACAACTTGCCAAAAATTCTTCGTGGCAAGTAATGCACTCGCGCAGTTTCTTACTTAGCGCGTTGGAGGCTGACGAGCGAGAAACAGCTTAGCCGTGGCGCAGGCGCCTTCCCAACTCTGCTTCGAGTGTAGAGGGGCGGACTGCGAGGGTCGAGCGTGGACTAGACTCGTATAGGCTCTGAGTAGTCGTGTTATGGTTAGGTAAGCCGTACGGCATTTGCCTTGGTCACCGGTTTGATGGGCTGGGGTTGAATTTTACACTCGAGTTACGAGTCACACATCATAATAGACTTCGGTGATCATCATGATATATTGGCCCTCGCAGACCGGCAGTCCGCCCCTCTACACTCGAAGCAGCGGTGGGAAAGAGCTCGAGTTTTGCGACAACGTGCTCCTGGCATTGCACTAATATTAGTAGTAAGTTTTACACTTGTTTACGTACTGACTTATAAACTCGTTATCAACAATCAGTTAGTTTGACGCTCACCCGCATGATCAAGCCTCCAGACTTCAGAGCCTTTGCGGGCCCCACGGCTTATAATTCTTCACTCGTAGCTCTTCTCAGGAAACGTAATGTCCTTTAGAGGAATATTGAATCAGAGTCCTATATCAGTCCTCCTCTGCTGCTTACTCGGACGCATTTCAAATTTCGTTTCTCAGTCATAAGCTTGGATCCAAGAGCATTCATAGGCCGTGGTTCACGTATACGACTTCAAAACTCATCATGCAGACGACGACAATCAGTGAAGGCCATACGGTTTCACACCATCCCACAATTGGCCCTCAGCACGATCTTAAAGAAAGTGACAAACACAATGAACGAGTTGAAATGGGAGTGGGGTTGTCTGCAAGTGATTCAAGAGCGGCGTCTGTCTCTGATATGAAAGCCCAAACGAAACGTCAGCGGCTGCGCGCACGGGTGCAATTTGCGACAGTTTGTGGGTCTATGTACCTTGCTGGATGGAATGACGGGACGACTGGTCCATTGCTCCCCCGGATACAGGAAGTGTATGGCGTAGGTTGTTTCAAATACCCGCAGTTCTCTTTTAAGTTTACCTCCTATCGTCTTGACAGCTGAATTTCACTGTCGTATCCCTGATATTCGTGTTCGCATGTGTTGTAAGATTTCACTGCAGCCTGTCAGATTCACCGATAAATCTGAGTTACTCGACAGGGCTTCCTATCTGGAGCATTTGCAAACCTATATCTGAATGGCAGATTCGGTTTCGGGAAAGTAAGTTCATCTTCGATTTTTTTTGTACGATCTCTGAGGTGCACTCTATGGTCTAGGTGATTGTATTAGGTGAGGGCGGATCATTGAAAGCAGAGGCCACGATCGCCTAATCATTGCTCAGGATCTGCGTGTCAAGTTATAGCGTACGCCATAGAGGCGGGTGCTTTGCCATTTCCTGCATTCGTGCTAGGTTACGCCATCAATGGCTTTGGAATGGCTCTACAGGCAAGTTACACCAATGCAATGGATTCTACGGTCCTGATGGACCTGAAATTAGGACGCGCAATCGAATGGTTATGTGGCCTGTCTCAAGGATAACCCCGAGATGAAAATGGGGATCCTCCATGCAGTAAGTGTGTCATCTTGTCTGTGAACTCTCAATTTATCTTGCCATTCAAAGGTATACGGTACGTTACACCTATTTCATGGGGATGCAACGTGAAGGATGTTCCTATTTTCACATTTCAGGTGCTGGCGCTTTGTCGTCCCCATTGGTAGCAACGCAATTTGCCCAGCTTCCGCATTGGTCATTTCACTACCTGTGCAGCCTCGGTGTTGCGTTCATAAACATAGTATCGTTGATTGCAGTCTTTGGGCTGAAAACACAGGATGGTATGACAAGCACTTATATTATTGAGAAGATGGCTGAGCATCTCACAGAGTGCCTCGCTCAGATTGGACAGCCAGCAGTCGAAAAGGGGACAAGTGAGAAGAGCCAGTTCAGCCAGATATTGCGGCTCAGAGAAGTCCACCTCCTCGCCTTCTTCATTTTAATATATGTAGGAGTGGAGGTCACTATGGGTGGTAAGTATACAATTCAAGTGGAGAAATTGCTCACTCAGAATACTACTCTAGGGTGGATGGTGACGTACATAATTGACGTGCGCGGAGGAGGTCCAAGTTCGGGATATATATCATCAGGGTTTTTTGGAGGTAAGCTTTTCCGGGTATGCTAGGGGTTCGAATTTCACTTGTAAATAGGTCTCATGATTGGCCGTGTCGGTCTTTTGTGGGTGAACAAAAAGGCAACTCTCTATCCGTTTATAGCATGCAACATTGATCTCAAAGATCACAGGTTGGGGAACGTCGTGTTTTGTTCATTTATGCTATCCTCGCAATTGGGCTACAACTAGTAGTATGGCTGGTACCTTCGCTCATTGGTGCAGGCGTTGCGATCTCCCTAATTGGAGTAATTTTGGGGCCGATGTATCCCATCGCTATGAATCACACAGTACGAATTCTCCCTGAGTGGCTCGTCACAGGTAATTTTGTGTTTAGTAGCACGAGTATGGTCAACTGAAACCTGAATGTAGGGTCTATTGGTTGGATAGCAGGCTTCGGGCAAGCAGGTTCTGCGCTCTTACCATTCTTAACCGGTGCCATTGCATCGGGGGCGGGAATCAAGAGTCTGCAGCCATTGTGAGTGTTCCTTATAGTTGTGTCTGTGCTTAATAAACTGATCGTTGGTGGCACACAAGTCTTGTTTCGATGATGGCGTTCATGACTGTCTTGTGGGCTTTAGTGCCGAGAACTGCTAGGAGAACTGAATGATAGCCGTTAGCTATATGGGCTGACATTTGGAAATAGATTCATTTAATGACCTCATTGTGGACCCCTTATAACCGGGTTGTCAGTGAATTCTTTTACCTATTTGCCCAGACTCCAACCATTCGGTTATCCTTCATCCCAGTACAGCCACCTTTGTCTTAGATAATCGAGTTGATTGAAACCCAGCCGTAGTAATCACTGGATGTGTCAATTTTCTTCTCTATGACCATTTACCATCAATTCGAGGTCACAGAGACATCAAGTTGACTGAATGACTTCACTCTTTCATATGTTAATGAGATATTCCTCTGTCCTACTCAAGGCTTCCCATTTGATCGGCCCAACAGTCATCAGAGTCAATCACCCGGGAATCGGCAAGAACTTGACAAGTTGTCTCAACCATTATGATCCAAAATTCAATTCATTGGCTCGTGTCATATTAAGCTCCACTCGGTCACGCAAGGAATGATTCTACAGCTTTCAGCATTGCGCCAGTGATTACCCATGTGATCGGGGACATTAATCGTCTTGGTCACAACCATTATGGCTCAAAATTCAATCCGTTGGTTCGTGTCACATCTTTCATCCATAGACCAGTGCACACATAAACCAGTGCATCGAGGGTGAAAGAACTTCAAGTTGGCTGGTTGACTTGAAAATTCATCTTTCCTTCACAAGGCTAAGTAAACCCTCCCCTACCAGATTTACGAAAATTATTGCAACTATTAACTATATATAGTTGATCATGACACTCTAGTCTGTTCACCGGACTGCCAGTTCAGTGATGACCACGTCATTTCTTGCAGTTGGTCAGCCTCCCGTGTCTTGCGCTCGAATCTTTTAGACCCTTCCATCAACTCATCAGCAATCAATTCTAGACCCGCGAAATAGTCCAAGTCATCAAAGTCTGGACTCTGCTGCGATGAGAGGAATCCATGCAAAATGATGTTTGCAACTCATCGGCAAGAGCAGCATCGACTCCGTGTTCAGGACAGGTACGCATATGTGCATGTTTTCGATGAACACCATAGTCGATTTTTTATTGTTTCTCAGTAGGAATAAATACCAGGTCATCGTATTTCTGCCGACTTCCGCCAAGCACCCTCGACCTACTGCCGGCAATTGCCGCTTGGCAATTCACTAGCAGAATGCCGCCATTCTGCCAACACTAAGCTGCGGATTGGGTTGCGGGTTGGGCCACGGGTTGACACGTACCCCTGCGATGATGCTCTAACCGGGTGGGTACGGGTACGCCTCTGGAACATTTGGTACCAAGCGGGTTGGGTGCAGGTATGAACCGGGTCGACCCATGTCACGCCCTATGAAAAGGAAGATCGAAACGTCCTTTATCAGTACTTCCTCTGTTCCTTCCTCGAACACACTGAACCTTCAACTTTCGTTTCCGAGCCATAACCTTGGATCCAAAAACATCCTTAGGCCGTGGTTCACATATTTGTTTTCAGAACTCATTATGCAGATGACGACGATCAGTGAAGGTCATACGGTTTCGCACCATCCCACAATTGGCCCTCATCACAAATTTAAAGAGAGTGACAAACACAATGAAATGCAAGTGGGGTCCTCTGCAAGTGATTCAAGAGCAGCCTCTGTCTTTGACCTGAAAGCCCAAACGAAGCCTCAGCGGCTGCGCGCGCGAGTGCAATTTGCAACAGTTTGTGGGGCGATGTATCTAGCTGGATGGAATGATGGGACGACTGGTCCATTGCTCCCCCGGATACAGAAAGTGTATGACGTAGGTTGTTTCAAACACCCGCAGTTCTCTTTTACCTCCTATCGCCTTGACAGCTGAATTTTGCTGTCGTATCCCTGATATTCGTGTTCGCATGTGTTGTAAGATTTCATTGCAGCCTGCAAGATTTGTCGATGAGTCTGAATTATTCGGTAGGGCTTCCTATCTGGAGCGTTTGCAAACCTTTATCTAGATGGGAGATTCGGTTTTGGGAAGGTAAGTTTATCTTCGATGATTTTTTTGCGATCTCTGAGGCTCGCTCCGTGGTCTAGGTGATCGTGATAGGTGAAGGCGGATTATTGAAAGCAAAGGTCATAATCGCCTTATCATTGCTCAGGATCTGCGTGTCAAGTTATAGCGTACGCCATAGAGGCAGCTGCTTTGCCATTTCCTGCATTTGTGCTAGGTTACGTTATCAATGGCTTTGGAATGGCTCTACAGGTAAGTTACACAAGTGCAATAGATTCTACGGCCGCCCTGATGAACCCTGAACTCAGGACGCACAATCGAATGGTTTTGTAGCCAGTCTCAAGGATAACCCCGAGGTGAAAATGGGGATCCTCCATGCGGTAAGTGTTATCTTGTCCGTGAACTCTCAATTTATCTTGCTGTTGAAAGGTATACGGTACGTCATATCTCTTCCATGGTGATGCAACGTGATGGATGTTCCTATTTTCACTTTTCAGGTGGTGGTGCTTTGTCGTCCCCTTTGGTAGCAACGCAATTTGCCCAGCTTCCGCATTGGTCATTTCACTACCTGTGCAGCCTTGGTGTTGCGTTCATAAACACTGTATTGTTGATTGCAGTCTTTGGGCTGAAAACACAGGATGGTATGATAAGCACTCATTGTTGAGAATACAGCTAAGCAACTCACAGAGTGCCTCGCTCAGATTGGACAACCACCAGGGGAAAAGGGGACAAGTGAGAAGAGCCAGTTTAGCCAGATATTGCGGCTCAGAGCAGTGCACATCCTCGCCTTCTTCATTTTGACATTGGTAGGAGTGGAGGTCACTGTGGGTGGTAAGTATACAACTCAAGTGGAGAAAATGCTCACTCAGAATACTACTCCAGGGTGGATGGTGACGTACATAATCGACGTGCGCGGAGGAGGTCCAAGTTCGGGATATATATCATCAGGGTTTTGGGGAGGTAAGCTTTTCTGGTTATGCTAGGAACTCGACTGTTTATTTTTCAACAGGTCTCATGGTTGGCCGTGTCACTCTTCTGTGGGTAAACAAAAAGGCAAGTTCCTATCCCGTTTATGGCATGCAACATAGATACCAAAGATTACAGGTTGGGGAACGTCGTGTTTTGTTCATTTATGCTATCCTCGCAATTGGGCTACAACTAGTAGTATGGCTGGTGCCTTCGCTCATCGGTGGAGGCGTTGCGGTCTCCCTAATTGGAGTAATTTTGGGGCCGATGTATCCCATCGCTATGAATCACACAGTACGAATCCTCCCTGAATGGCTCAGTCACAGGTAATTCGTGTTTAGTAGCACAAGCATGGTCAACTGAAACCTGAATGTAGGGTCTATTGGTTGGATAGCAGGCTTCGGGCAGGCAGGTTCTGCGCTCTTGCCATTCTTAACCGGTGCCATTGCATCGAAGACGGGAATCAAGAGTTTGCAGCCATTGTGAGTGTTCCATATACTTGTGCCTGTGCTTAATAAACTGATCGTTGGTGGCACAAAAGTCTCGTTTCGATGATGGCATTCCTGACCGTCTTATGGGCTCTGGTGCCGACAACTGCTAGGGGAACTAAATGATATATGCTCGATCAGCTGTGTCTTGTGGATGGTTTGGCATGTGGTAGTAGATTCATTTAATGACCTCGTTATGACACCCCTCAGGCTAAGTATCAGTGAATTCGTGCAAGTTTTGCCCAATGTTCACAAAACGTAAGCACTGGGCTTACAATTCCCCTTGTACCGGTTCGAAGTAATGCCTTATGGAATTCCCTTCGTACTCACTTACATATATGTAAAAGCCAGTCCTTACTTTCCGTATCTTCAGTGAATTAACTCTCCCTCACTCATTCTCTCATGGTCCGAATCAATCCCCGTCGAACTCAATAACAGCCTTACACATTATACAGCGCAAAGGGTGAGTCACGAGGATCCAAAGCAATCTAAACTTCACACAGGACACGTCGTTCGTAACAAATATCTCCACATCTTGAAAGAGCTGTCAATCAGATGTCAAGAATGCAACACGCACAACGACGCAGTTCCCCATTCCCTATTTATTTGTCCCGCATTCACGCACTAGCTGGCCCTAACGGACAATAAACAAGGATCCAAAAAAAAAGATGAGTGTAGCGATGATGGGATCAGAGACTTCGAAGTCGACTGCAATCTCAACTTTGAACGGCCTTAGAATCTTCTTGAGCTACACCGTGTTGTAGCGGCCGCGCCAGCATACCCGTCGTCGAAATTCGTGTGCTTTCCTATTTTTCATTGCCCTTACAGGAGGCGATAGCAGTTCTAGCTACACGGAAGCCACTGATGAATCGACAACCGGTGCACAGGCATCTTAGTAGAAGTTACCTAGTTTCTCGTATCTCATAGATGTGCCGCCATTCTCATCCTGTCGTACGGCTCTCCCTGATCCAGCCACATCGGTGGGACAAAATGGCGTAGTCGAGGAGGCCTGGCATTTCTTGGACCTCACATCGTACTTGCAGCTCCATACTATGTTCCCTTGTGCCTCCGATGAGTGTGACCTCCAAATGGACCCTCAGTTTCTTTGCATCGTGTGCATGGGAAACTAAATTCGCAATGATTTCCTCGTGCTGGAATAAGCGCGCAAACAAGGTAAATACAAATGCATGTGCATGGCAAAATTACCTTCGTCGACCCCCGGGTTAGTTGACCAATACACGATGAGTATAGCGATTGATAAGGAGGGCATGGAAATACTAAAAGTTTGAAGTCGACTGCACTCAAAAACACGACAGCAATCTCAACTCTTGACGGCCTTTCTTCTTGAGCTACTCCGTGTAGCATTGGCCGCGCCAGTACCCGTTGTCGAATTTCGTGTGCTTTTCCTAGGTTTGGCCGCCTCCACAGAAGGCGGTGACGGTTCTGGCGACACGGAAAGCACTGATGAAGCCGTTGACAACCTAGATGATCGGCGCGCAGGCGTCTTTTCGTCCTTCACAGGTTTGACTTTGATTGAGGTGCCCGTTCGGGTTTTACGAGCCGTACGTGACGGCGGCAGGGGAGTGATATCATCTTCGTCCCGGTCTTCTTCATCATCAAGTAAAGAGCCAGGTATGGTCTGTGCGAGAACAGGATTATTTGTATTATCTTTCCAGGAACTAACGGGTTTGCGTCGAGGACTAGGTGAACGCGCGCGAGGCTGAGGCCGACGGGCACCGCGATGTCGCGGAACAGCGCTTTTGAGAGGGGAACCAGCATCACTTTCGTCCTCGTCCTCATCATAAAATGCGCCTGGAGGTGCACGTTTCTTGGTTTCCACCTGCTTAGACGCGGGTGCACGAGTGCGTTGTTCAGGTGAGCTCTTGTTGCCAAACACGGAGAAGCCGAGCTCAGGCTCATCATCCATGTCATCCGGCATGCTACTGACGTCGCCATCTTCATGGATGATGAAGGCATTATCGTCATCAGATTCCATGCTGATGTCGTCTGCCCTGTGAGAATGAGGCCGTGTGGGCACGTCCTCTGTGGGAAGTGCACGGCTCGTTCCAGTCGATACTGGCGGAGGTTTGTAGAATGCATTCGGTGCCTGTTTGGCACTGCCAGTTTTCTCAAACAGTGATGTAGTTGGCGCGTTGGATGCGTAGGTAGTCTTTGATAAGGCAGTGCTATGCGCGAATTTGATTCCAGATTGGCCCACGAGGGGTACAGGCGGCGCAGCAACAGGTTTGCGCAATGGAAGCTGACCAAATGGTGATACAGCGGGTGACTTTTGGGGTGGCGAGGAGAGGAAACTCCCTGGAATGGACCCAGCGAATGATGGTTTTAGCTCAAACCGACCAGAACTAGAGAAACTGGTATGCTTGTCAGGGATTCGGGGTGTAAGACTATTCGGTCTACTAGGGGAAGCCTCATTCAAAGAACTTGCGGATGGAATCTCCTCCCATGACATGCTGAGATCACCTAGAGGGGCTCTAGGTTTCGGAGGCGCGGTTTTCGCTGCCTGAGGGGTCGGGGCAGGAGGTAACGTACTTGGTTGGTTAAGCAAACCCTCCACCATTGTTCTTTCCACAAATGTCATATTCCCCAAGATGTCATCCATTATCTTCTTTCTCTCTCGCCCGGCTTTCACGCCCTCTGCACCAGCAGACCCTACGGTAGAAAACTGGCGATCTAGTTGGATGGCTGCCAAATATTCTCCACTTTGGACAAGTCGGACGCAGACAAGGTCTTGCACAATGGCAATAGAAGCAGCTGGAATGTCATGCGGTGGCTTAAGAGCATATGCATGGAGCAGAGACTGTTCCGGAGGGGATAGAGGGAATGCTACGAGCTGTGCCAACGGTCCAGAGCGTGGCTTGGCTATTAAAAACACATGATATTAACAAGGTCACAAGGAACATTGGTCGGTTTACGCACGCGAAAGACACCACTCTAGGAGCTTATTGAGTAGACGCGTACGCGTGTCAGAGGAATCAGGAAAAGTGCGTTGAAACTGCCACGCGTCCCATAGACTTGAGTTAGCCAGCGCAAGCGCGTACATATCAATGTCGTCAGGTTCCATGAGCGGAGGCTTGGCGGTCCGAACGTATTTCACGATGAGTGGGGACGGATCCTCGGACAATGAAAGCGCCTGCATAATTTTGGAGGCGTAGTCCCTATTTAGTCTCGCATCTGAAAGTATGGAAACTGCTTTCTAAACCACTTGTCATAAGGTTCAAAGAAGCTATGATACCAGATACGACGACATACCTCAACGTGGATGCCAGTGTCCAGATGCCAATATGCATCTGCAAGGGACACAAACTGTGGTGGGATACACCTCTCCTCCGCATAAGTGGCCTCTCGTCCGTCTTGAAACCACTTCAGGAGGATATATACCAGACAGTCTTTCTTCAAGCTGTCATAACTCGAGCCATTGATAACATCCAGTAGCCTACGGAGCGAATGTAGGTCTGTAGGCGGATAAAGCATGTCTGGTTGACGGATGCCACCGCGTATGAGCAGAACGTCAAAAATTAGGACATCGGCCATCTGCGCGCGTCGGGATTCTATTTCTGCAGATCTGGTGGTGGTCCAAGGAAATTGATGTGGCATCCCGAAAAGCAGGAGCCAGTTTTGGACCACATTGCTATTGTCCTGAGGAAGTACAAGTCAGGTCAAACAAGGCTAAGCATCGCGCTTAAGGATGATACTCACGACGTCCATGCTACTTGTGATGGAACACGCCCGTTGAACCACTTCATCACGCCTTTCAACAAAGCATTGCTGATGTAATCAATTACGATAAACAGAAAATTAACCCCTGAAATCGGCCTGGCTGTATTCGTGATACACTACAAATATACAGTAGACACAAGTATATCCTTAAACCAGTCCCTCTATCGACGGTTTGCCTCATAGAGGGGCTGGTCGCCAGTCTAGAATTTACTGATGATGTCAATTGTCATCATCCTGCGGCTGGCCTGTATGATATCAGCAAAGATCTTGTTCTCGTCTGTGGCTCGCTGCCACTTGACAGGTTTGACGAGATATGACATGCATCACACTACACATGATGAAGTGAATTCAAGTTCAGGAAAATAGTTTGCCTTAATTTGTCATACAGGCTGTTCGTCACAGCCTGGTGTCCTCCACACTTAGCATATACGACAACTTCGGCAAGACTACACTTCCCAGAGGCTAACGGCCGTCACCGAATGCGTTCAGGGATTCGGTTGGCTGGTGACCAAAACTTCCGGTTAGTCATCAAATGTATATCATACAAGCACAAGGCAGGCAAAGTACATCACCGTGCAGTAGTCTGCTGCCCTCCTGTCTTCTGTGCAAGACGATCTACAAGGGGTGCATCAGCCGCATCCGCAGCAGCCACCTGTAACTTATTTGTTCCCTCTTTCCGCAGAGTCCGCACATCCCCTTTAAATCCAAGGTAGTAAACACGAGAAAGCTCTCCTCCAACCGACTCACGCTAATACGTATTCAGTTGATCGATTTCGTTATAAGGGTGAACAACACTCACAAAGTACAAGCTTAATGAATGAACGCTGGAAAACGCTGCAACTTTCAGGGGATATTCAACCACTGCCGTTTCACCCTCCAAGAGACTAATGTTTAAATGTGGTTTTGTACTTTCAGCGTCGCTGAAATCGATGATATTGGGGTAATTCGCGTAGACCCTGAGGTGGCGGGGTGTAGTTTCACCTCTGCCTGTACGTACGATGGCTGTGTGACGCAGACTCATCAAGTTTAAACGAGCATCAATCACCTAATTTGAGTATAATAGACTTAACGCGCACGTTCTGTGCGAAGGGCACATGTATGATCATCTGCGGAAAGCCATCATTAATCAAAGTGAATCTCTTCCCAGTGACGCAGCTCACTTGGTCGTCTACACCCGAATCTGCATATACAGTGGTATCCTCACGCTCACTCCATGGCTTGATAATCGCTTTGGCTTGCTCTGGTGTTGCCAGGTTGAGCCCGTGTACGCTTGATAGCATTTCGTCAAAGTCAGATATCTTTGCTAAATATCCCACCGTGATAAGTCAGCAAGTGCTTACTTCTCTCTATCGATTAACGGAAACAGGCTCGACAGGTCTGTCCCGCTGAGATCTGCAGCTAGGGAGTCATTTCCTTCCATTACCGGTACGTCGTGGTCAAAGTATCGACGAAACTTGAAACATCACTGGCACGGAACACTAACGCGTCGTCCCAAATCGACACAAACCAAATAGGGACAAACAACTCGGGACACCTTCGAAATTTCTACTTCCAACGCGCGCAAAGCAAATGCACAGACTTGCAAGAGCTAGCGCTTCCTCCGCGTTTCGACGGCCTCCAACTCATTCCCGCGTATTTCTGTGTAGACCATCAACTTCGTCTCTGAGACAGTTATCCACAGACCCTTCAAATTCCTCGCTACCCAATGAATTGTCAGAATCACAGTTACAAGACGTGGAGGCTATTGAGGAGGAAGAGAGCAATCATGCCTTTCCGGACGTCATGAAACCAGACCCTATTCACGACGATCTTTTAGCCATGGATTTTGCTCCTACCAAACGCACACCACACGCAAACCGCGTCGTGATACGCAGCGTTTATGAACAGCACGTCAACCAAATGCTAGAACCGGACAGTGCAGAAAAATCAGAGAATGGTGCCGAAGAAGACGATGCTGACGAGGAAGGCGAGGTCTCCCCACTCTCGAACCTCCCTCTCAGCCGGGAAGCTCTCGGGAAGCTGTACAAATTCCAGCTTATCTCTCGCCGCATCACACAACAGACAGGGAAGGGAAAAATACACCGGCAGTATGCGCTTGTTGTTGTGGGGAATGGAGATGGGTTAGTTGGTTATGGAGAGGGTAAGGACGAAGAATTGCCAAGGGCATCCGACAAGGCATTCGCCGCTGCTGTTCGTAATATGGACTCTGTCGAACGCTTCGAGAAGCGTACAGTGTGGACGGATATAGAAACAAAGCTCGGTTCTACCCACATCATCCTACGGCCTCGTCCCGTTGGCTTTGGATTGCGTTGTAACCCCAACGTGCATCAGGTGCTCAAAGCAGCAGGCATCAAGGATGCCAGTGCAAAAGTATGGGGTAGCCGTAATCCACTCAACGTCATCAAAGCTCTATTCAGGGTGCTGCAGGCCGGGAACGCGCCGCTAGCTATGGGTGATGGTTTTGGAGGGAAGGCCAAGAAGCTTGACAAGGGGTCTGGACTGCGTAACAAGAGCGCTGTAGAACGGGATCGTGGGCGGAAGCTCTTGGATCTCAGGACATACTGATATGGATTGCCGTTAGCTTTCATTCCCGTGTTTTGGCGTCCCTGTTTTGTGGCATTGCTTTCCGCGGAATAAATTGATCGATTCCAGTGTGTTCTTTTACTCTGCGTTCTTAGAGTCCAGCTGGTATGATCGAGACCCGAAGCGATTGTATGGTCAAAATAATGGTAACTTCAGGAAGGCACCCTTAGGCTGACGTTGGAAATTAAATTCTCTGCGATTGAGTAAGACAAACTGAAACCTCCAATGTCACTTTACCAAGTTCGAATGAAAGGTAACCTTATTTCACCTTCTACATAGAATGCACCCAAGATATCACATTAATTTGCCAGATACGGGTTCAAAGACAAGAAGAGTAAGACGGGGCACTCCTGATGGAACATGCGTGCTTGGATTGGTGAATTGCATGAAATCTAACAGCCGCATATCGATACATAAAATTTCGTGTACACCAGGTACTCATATATAATGCCTGGATAATTGCACAACAGTAAATGAAGAAAAATCGAAATCGAAAGATATGGTAAGATGGGGTCAAAAATGCTATTGTCTCGGCATGAGAAATTGTGAGTAGGTTGGAAGAATGATGATGTGAATGGATGTGAATAAGAAGTATACAACTAGCCACCAACTGTAGCGAACAGTTTTCCTGGCGAAAACCAGTGACGTTTTTGACGAGGTCGTGGGGCCTGCTGCCGGCATTGTTCATGTATAGCGGTTACAGCGGGTGGTGGCGGCTCGGGCATGCTGGGTGACGGCGACCGACGCCCCCATGTGGGACTCGAAGAAAAGAACGTAGAGAAGGGGAACGAGTCTGTGAAGGACCCCCTGCGTGAACGGGGCTGCTCTTCCGTCTGATGCGGCGGCGACGACGAGCGAGGGAATGAGAACCTCCACAGGCTTGAGGACCACCTCTTCTCCTCGCCTGCAGTGGAACGGGGGATGGGGATTGGGGCTGAGGGTGGAGGAGTGGGAAGGGGGGCATCGACGGAGCGAAAGGCATTCATGACCATGGAGGGTACAAGATGATTTATGGAGGGAGTGACTTGATCACGTCGCCAGGTGGCTAGAGTGGTGTCCTCAGCAACGTGATACGTGGGAGAGAGGTCGAGTTCCAGACCCACGACGCTGGAGGACGACGTGGAGGGGTATGATGATGGGGAATAGTCTGTTTCTGTGTAATCCCATGCGGAATCCATCCGCTGGCTTTCAGGAGTAGAATAAGCGCCTAAGTCAACCGAAGAAGGCATTCCAGAATTGGTCCAAGGCAAAGACAGCTTCGAAACTGAAGGTGGAGTTGGAAGGAAAAAACAGGAGGAGAACGGCGTAGAACTTTCAACGGCAGTGTGCATAGAGGAAAAGGTGGAGCGTGTTTCACTGCTACCAGTGAAAAATATACGACGCCCGCACACTGTGTTGATTTTGAGACCCTTGGCGGGAATGGGCGTGGGCCTACTGCACATCATACCCTCAGGAGTGGCGGGAACGGAAGGTAACGAGCTGGAATCAGGGGATTGGGGAGAGTATGTTGATGGTGGAGTACGAGGGGACTCGTAGATTTTGAGCGGCTCGATTAGAGACGGTGATGGCGACCGAATAGAGGATTCGATGGCCCAGGTCGCATTGCACGACGAGTATTGCTCCCAAGCCGGATTTTGTACAGAAAGCCTCGTAAAGTCCATCTCCGCATCCGAATCTTTGCTCCAAAAGGACTTGAGCTCGTCTTGAGCTTCAACAGGTTCCTCGTGATTAGAGGAGTCACTGTCGCTCTCAAGGTCGACATCAATCTCCCAGGCACAGCGGGCCATGCTGCCTTCGAATATCACGCCCTCGGCGTAGAAGTGTTCCACATCCTGAATCGCCACGCGAACCTCTGCAAGCGTAAAACGGTGCCTCCAATCCACTTCCAACATGCGGCAAAGAATCTCGTTCACTTCGGGTGAAATGGGGAGGACGGTCGGCAAAAAGTTAGCCGGGTCCTGCAAATATGCTTGGAACGTAGGGTCTGATGATGACGCCGACTTCCACGGATTCCGACCGGTTGCAAGGTTAAGGAGAATTATTGCTAATGACCAAATGTCGTTGAATAGGGGTGAATACGAGCCTGTCGGAGCGAATTCTCCTCCTTGACATTCTAAAATAGAGATGAGTATACGCGACGATTGGAGTGGCAGAATAAATACCTGGACTCATATGATATACGCTACCCGTCCGAAACTCCTCGCTAAACCTATCAGTCGTGGCAAGACCGAAATCGGTGATCGCAACTCGCATGCCACCATCGAAGCACAGGACATTCTCTGGCTTGAGATCACGATGGTATATGCCAAGCGAATGGCAGTACTCAACAGCGTCGAGGAGCTGTAGAAATATATGTTTGATAAGGTGGTCATGACCAAGATAGCGGCAGTTGTGTAATATCTGGGAGAAAAGGTCGCCGTCGCTAGCATAATCCATGATAATGTAGGTGTAGTTGCCCTCCTCGACCACCCTATGTAGTGTGACCACATTCGGATGCGCTGAAGCGAGGCGATGAAGAGCTATCTCACGGATGTGGAGCTGCCGCTGCCGCGTGCTGTGGTGGATGTGGGAGCTTATGAGGCACTTGACGGCGTAGGAAGTGAGTAGAGGATCACGGGTGTCAACGGCACGATAGACGACACCATAACCACCAACGCCCAGGACTTCTACGAGCTCTATGGTATTGTTGTCGATGACAGTGCCGAGAGCGGGGGGAGGAGGAGTGTTCGCAGAAGAGGATTGCTTGGACGGCATCCTGGCCGAAGTCACTTCTGGGAGAGTGGTGAGGGAGGAGGAAAGTCCTAATGGACTTGAATGGAAAGGCCTGTGGCGAGGGACGTTACGGAGAGGGAGGTAAACGGGAGAGGCGAAGAGTAATGATAGATGAGCGGCAGTTTAAATGGGTGACGTCTGTTTGGGGCGTGTTAAGCATGAGGCCGCGCCTGGTTTGGTGAGCGTGATAGATGAAGGGGGCGCAACGTTGAGATCCCCCTACGATAATGACATTATTGGCTTTTCTACGGTTCAGACATAACCCGAGCTGTATAACATTTCATTTTGCGTATGTTTCGGGTACCCCTAAATGGAAAAGGCGGCGAGCTCTATTACCGCATTGAGAGCCAAAGTGATCGATTCCGGTCTGACACGGCTTTCCAAAGAGGAGTTACTTGCTTAGGAATCCGAGGGCGGCGGCCATCAGTACTCAGTCAGTGACAGACTGTAGCAGATCGACCTTTGACTGACACAACTCTGTTAGACTCGCATTCTATCAGAAATTTCCGAATCGTACCAATGATCCATGGTGCAACAGGGCGGGGGGGTGACTGCCGCGGATGTAGAAATACTACAGGGCTAAGGGATTGGATAATGTGAGCTGACCAATGCCCGAAAAATGGGGGTATGACAGAATTTCCATCGGGAGACGATCATTACAGATTCGTTTTGACATAATACATGTGATTTGGGGTTAGCTGCGGCTACAGCACGACAAAGTGCTGCGGTTTAGTATCCAGACGTTCTAAACGTTGCGATTAGTGGTGGATAGCCTTTGTGTTAATCGAGGGTTGAAACATTGCGAAGTCGGCCAACTTGTTCGTGTTGTAGCACATTGATATCGCGTGCAAGTCCAAGACTAGTAAAAGCACGTGAGTAGAACGCGACGCGTTGTGGCAAATCGGAACATCGGAGTTCCAATAAACACGCATCATTTAAAGAGAGTTTACCGAACACGCCTGTACAACTTGTTGTCTTACATTTTCTAGCCGTCACATTCAACCACGCGCATCAAGCGACTTCCCAGCCTACACTGCCTACACTGCCTCCTTAGCGCACTTTTTTCCATTGCACGATTCACAGCATTCTCTTCGCCTCGT